CAAAAATTTAAAAATCTAATTATAAACTAAACATTACTACAATACTATAAATAATTTGTATAAAAACGTAGGCTATAACAAGTTGTAATTAAAATTTAGAAAGCTAAATAACCTATTTAGCCTATTTAGTTTCTAAGCAGGTCTATTTAGCCTATTTAGTTTCAGGTTTTCAAACCTTATATTGCTAAATGAAAAACTTTGGCAAAATGAAATATCGTTCAACACGATTCATTTATTATAGAAATCTTGTAAATGTTCACCAAAAGGTAATTTCGCAGAAATATGTTCTAGCATTTTTTTTTTTTGGAGTTGTGTTTCGATTGAACATTTTAAGTAGGTTCATTACGAAGACAATTTCAATAAGAAGCGTTATTGAAGTACGGAATCCGAAAACAATACCTATTTAATCCTCACACACATCCTTCCAATTTACTAAACGCTTTAACACAATTTACTGGTGGTAGGACCTCTTGTGAGTCCGCGCGGGTAGGTAGCTCGTGTGTGGACGAGCTCACAGCCCACCTGGTGTTAAGTGGTTACTGGAGCCCATAGACATCTACAACGTAAATGCGCAACCCACCTTGAGATATAGGTTCTAAGGTCTCAGTATAGTTACAACGGCTACCCCACCCTTCAAACCGAAACGCATTACTGCTTCACGGCAGAAATAGGCAGGGCGGTGGTACCTACCCGTGCGGACTCACAAGAGGTCCTACCACCAGTGATTACGCAAATTATAATTTTGCGGGTTTGATTTTTATTACACGATGTTATTCCTTCACCGTGGAAGTCAATCGTGAACATTTGTTAAGTACGTATTTCATTCGAAAAATTGGTACCCACCTGCGGGATTCGAACACCGGTGCATCGCAACAACGAATGCACCGGACGTCTTTTATCCTTTAGGCCACGACGACTTCAAAATATTTTTGTATTCATTGTGTATTTCAAGTTGTAACCCAAATTAAAGGAAAAGCTTTTAGGAAAATCCCTTTTTTGCGTTTTTAGCTAAATAATATTTTATAACACATCAGCTTTTTAACATTTTCCTGTATATTTACGTATGAATTCTGTTTTGTTATTTTTTTTATGAACCGCAACCTTATTTTGGAGACATCTCGAAAACTGCCACAGTCGTGGTGTTCGCGTGTCTTTGTCTTCTAGGAAAACAGATTAGAATGTTTCAAATTCGTAGGTAAACAGTAATAATTACGTCTAATACGAACGGCGGTAACATAAAGCCAAGGTTTAACTGCAACCAGCTGTGTCCCGGGAGTTGTAAACGTTTAGTTTATCGTTCAAGTGTAACACAAAGACAATTTGTTTTAGTTCATATAACTTTGTATTAAGCGGATTGAGTGTAAATGATCGGTGAATTGAATTAAAACTTAGTAACCACATTGGAAAAGACATTTTGGATATATCTTTTAAAATGTGATACATACAATATCTGGTACAAAACGCGTCATGTCGTTGATTCGTGATTGTGATGTGATTGTGATTCGTGAAAGCCCATTATTAGTATATTTGATAGCTTTACATGGGAATGAATCTTATACCTTTAAACGAGCAATTCTTGTATATACGTATATAATCTGAATCTCGGAAACGGCTCCAACGATTTTCATAAAATTTAGTACACAGGGGATTTCAGGGGCGATAAATCGATCTAGTTACGATTTATTTTCAGAAAATGCTGTTTTATTCGTGTTTTCAATAATCAACTCTTCCCGACATCTATTGGCGAATAATAATACTAATTTTTCTTAATTGAGGGCAACTAACCGCTTTAAAGACACAACAAGATGGCGTTATCAAAAAAAAAAGAGCAAAGCTCGGTTATCATTTAGTACTTAATTATGAATTAAAGTCGATAACGAACGATCAAGAATGATTTGAGTTACTGCTGCTTACGCTTTTTATTCCTACATTTTGTCTGTTTAACTCACTAGTTTTTGTGTGATCTACGTACAGTCCGGTATGAGACCGTGCCGGTAGACGTTGAAGCTGTCGTGGCCTAAAGGTTAAGACAACCGATGCATTCGTATCAAGTGATGCAACTGTGGCGGTGTTAGAGTTCCGCAGGCAGGTAACAATTGTTCTAATGAAATACGTACATAAGAAATGTTCACGACTGACTTCCACGGTGAAGGAATAGCATTGTGTAATACAAATGAAACCCAAAAAATTATAATTAGCGTAATTACTGGTTGTAGGACGTTTTGTGAGTCTGCATAGGTAGGTGCCACCACCCTTTTTTTTCTGGGCCGGGGGCCGAACCTCCTACGAGCTCCCTATGCCTAGGAGGCACGTGGGTATGTGAGACTGGAGGATCCGCAGATGCTGAGAACGGACCGCGGGCCCAAGGATGGTATTTAGGGCCCTGCCCACTAAACAACTTCTCTGCAATCTCGCCCAAGCGTCCGATCCCCGCCAAGGTCAGAACGTAAGGGGGCTACCGTAGTCAACACTGCAACCAGACGCACGGCTTATGCCAAACACGCCCGACCGACAAAATCGTTGAGGCGAAACAAGGGCTCTAGAACGTCAGCCGTCTCGGTACGGCGGCTCATCGAGTGGTGCCACTAGTGTCCCGCGATATCCCGCTGGGTTGAAACTAGTCCTCCAAGTCGGGACGCGATATACCACCAACCGGTCGCTTTTATGATGTCACTACTGAGTGATGCCTTCGAATGTTTGTACCACGCCGCGTGGTCTCGAGTCCCTCAGGTTGCCTCTTGACCTTCCCCTAGGGGGAGGCTGCCTCCTATAGGTGCCGGAACGTATGCTTGAGATACCACCATTCTGCCTATTTCTGCCGTAAATTAGTAATGCGTTTCAGCTTGAAGGGTAAGGTAAGACTTTAGGACCCATAGCCCAAGGTGGGTGGCGGTATTTATGTTGTTGATGTCTATAGATTCCGGTAACCACTTTAAACCATGTGGGCCATGACCTTGTCCCTCCATCTACGCAATAAATGAAAAATAAAAAAAATTGTCACTCTCCAGTTAATTGCTACTGCGATGCAAAGATGCATTCCGATTTGAACATCGTTGCAGTAGCAGTTTGATCTGATGATTCCCATTCCTGGTGATCGTTACATGTCAGGTGGGACATGAGCCATTTCACCATGGACAATAAATACATAAATAAAGCACCCGTATTAAAACACGTACAAGGACGACTTTCAGTACTATAGATCGAAAGCCCCGGGGCAGTCAAGCAAAATACTAAGTAATACGGTAAATGGAGCTCGGAATTATTGCCCAGAAAATGTCGACGGCTCCTAATAAAAGAGGGACATTTCAGCAAATTTTTACTGGCAGTGACAAAATACTTCATTAAGTATTGTAGCCGGTGTAAAATCTACGAATTTTTTGGCCACGTTAGTCTTTGTCAGAGCCAATTCAATTTGAAAGACTCATTTACGGCTTTCATTATATTTAATTATCATTTTCAACGTTACATGTATAGAGCATTTCCGATTTTAAAATAACAGCACAATATTAATTATTTAACCAAGTGTTATTAACAGCGACCCTTCATAGGTAAACCCGTACAGTAAATTGGTCAAAAAAATTTCATGCAAAAAAAACGTTCGAAACGCTCGATTCACATAAGTAAAACTGTAAAAAAAAAAAGTGAAACTGTAAAATGATTTTCACCGCAAATAAATTTATTTTAATCAATTTGATTATTGTAATGATCTATGAAAACAATTGTGTACGGTTCAAATGTTGATAATGATTAAAAGAGAAGGTGACATGGTTGAAATCATAACGCAAGTGCGTGATGATATTTTTAGTTTTATGTAAAATAGGAAAGTTGAATCTTTGTTACATTTTACCGAAAATTTCAATAGATTATTTTGAAACAAGTCAGGACAACTTCTACGAAGTAGGCAAACCGCAGACCCTCAAAGTTTTGTTCAAACATTAATAATTTCTTATGAACTCTACCGCGGTCTTCTATCGAGAATCATAAAGTAATTGAAATTAAATTATTGCTAACTGTTGTTTGCATAATGAATAGCCGGGGCCTCGTCAGAGATTTTAATGCGGATAATTTTATAAATTACTTAATTTAAAAGTAATTATGCTTAGTTTACTGTGTGCTTTTTTACATTACTCAGCTACGAGAATTTTTGAAGCGAGCCATATACTGGATTAGCGTCGTGGCTACGCTACACAGAAACCTCGGGAAAACGCATCGTACTCTATAGAATAAGTAGGATCCGAGGTTGTTGTCAACCACCGTGCCTTTGATATTCGATAACAACGGGTTGCAGCTGATGGTACTTAATTCTACGAATCACCATTTTACCTGGAGGCGTTAGCGGAGCGAAAGAGCTCTATCCTGTGATTGTGTTTGGTCTTCTCATTTCCGTGTCGGTTAAGCAATGCAAGAAAAACCTTAATGCGTTTGTCGAACTGGCAAGCGTATAGTCCGTGCGGGATTTTTACCTTCCGAATTTGAGGCAAATGGACCAATATTGCTTTGATACTAACGTTGAAAGCTGTTACTAACTCAGCGGTAGATTGTGTATCGTCAGCTTCCACTATGACTTTTAATTTATCGTTGTTGACTTAGGTTTTCGGGCGGCCACGAGGCTCAGTTTATCAGATCAAAGTATTCATGTTAGAAGTGTCCAAATTATTTCCAAATTACATTTTAAATGGCCAGTATTGTAAAACGGAAACTCTATAGACATAGACCTATTATTAATATCATTAATGCACAACTTAATTAAGCAATTTTGCAACCAAGCCAATTTCAACAATAATAAAAAGATTTTGAGAAAGATATTCTTCGAAAACTAAAGGCAATTTTATTTCCTAAATAATTTTAGCATGACATAGCTGTAGGCAATCTAAATGCACCAATTTGCCTATCATCGTAACGTCTCAAATTATAAAAGAAGTAATTTTATAATAAAAGACTTCCATGAATACTAGTCCTTTTACTATTAGCACATTAGTACAACTTTCTTTGGTGTTTAGACGTTTGAGTCAACACAAAATGTTTGAAAAGATAAAAAGTATTTATAATAAATCAAATTATGATATTTCTTCAGAATTTGTGAATCCTTTGGACTACCATAAAACTTTTTATTTTATATTGAAACAATTTAGAGTCGTAGATGTGGATTCCTCTAAAAATAAGTACGAATTTCAATCACAATAATTTTATACTCACTCTATGATATGTATGTATAAACACTAAGCTTTCCCTTTAAATGCCATGGTTTACGAATATATCATCATGTAAGAAATAACATTTGTGTAAAAAAATCAATAGAAATGGGTATAACAATGTTATAAACCAATTTTATTGTTACTTGAATTTTCCGATAATTGTAATTTTTAGTTATGGATTTTTACAGGTACTGCAATCAAAATATAATTCTTTTCACAATTGGAGCTATAGCAAACACATTGATGTTAATATCTTTATGCCATGGAATACACAAAATGGAAATACCACACATAACTGAAGCTGGAACCTATTGTATTGTGTTGAGTTATAAGTTATTGATCTTGTCATGTACTAAAATAAATGTTGTGCACTACGAAAATTTATTGAAGTCTATGAAAGAAGACTTCAAATATATATTCACAAATGGCAAGAAATATAGGTAAGACCTTATATTTATTAAGAACATTAAAGGAGCTAAAATTTTGGGAACCACGTTAAAATACCAATTATGTGTTTGTAAATATTAAAGTAGTAAGGGAGTTCATATAGAGTCCCTTCTTTATTTCGCCGTAAAGTCGTGTTTTATGTAATTAACACCACAGTTGGAACAATATAAATTTTATTGTTGTAGCGGCATAAATAATTCTAAGTAATTACATTATATTAGTTATCTAACACATTATAAATTATTATTGCGTTTTAATTAATTGGCCGTAAAAAGGTCCCGTCCACAGACTATATTCTTTTTCCCACATCTCGTGCGTTCCGGCTTACGCATCATAAAAATGTGCGTTCATAAACGCCACAGTAGTATTACTTACTTCTAACGCATAGTGATTTAAATTAGTATTTTACAGAGAACGATTCTTCGGTCTACAACTGGTAACATGGAAAATTTCCCTATTTTCGGTAATATTTACTTTTAGCATTCCTGTTGGCATGATTATATCTGCTTTCGGGTCACTGTTATACTACTTATTAACAAACGAATCAAGAAACGGCAACAAGAGACCTCTGTTATTCCCATTTTATATTCACGGCGTAGATTTTGGTGATACCCCAATTTATGAAATTGCTTTTACGTTTTCAAACATCTGTACTTTGGCATACGCTTATAATTATATTTGTAAGTACATCTTGGTTTACTGAAGGCACCTAATTTGATTTATTTAGATGCAGTAAGAACTTTAAATATTCATTTACATAGTGTGCAAAAATATTTCGTAAGATTAGTAAAAAAATAATCTTGTATACTTTTAACAAACTTTATACAACATAAAACATGTAAAGTACGGGCTTTTTGACAATAATTGCATGTGTTCCTTAAAAAAGATTTACTTTAAACATAACAGTTTCTATATTTTTATTTGTATATTTAGTTATGATACAAACACAAATAGTGTGGGTGAGGCAAATAACATCAAAGGCGGATATTATAATATGGAACCTTCAAGATCTTTTAAGAGATATTTATCCTCCTACAAATGAAACACAGAGGGCTTATTTTTTAAATCTGATTAAACATCGAATGAGGGATATAGTAAGACAGCATCAATCGATGTACAGGTAAATTTTATTTTCAGATAATCTTTTGTACTACGCTAATTTTTATATTAATTTACTATCACAGTTATTATTGACTATTTCTTTTTGGTGTTAATTTGTAAACGGACTCAAGAACCATCTATTATTACGCTATTTTAGGAGCCCATGCAAATATAAGGTGGAAGTCTTAAACCGTAACACATTTTTTTGCATTATATAGGATATTGGTGTCAACCTGTGTGAACTCACAGTACGCTTTACCGCCGTCCATGCCAGTCCTAAGTTTATTTAATTTGGATATGTTGAAGTTTATAAAATAATGTATACGAGTATGTTTATGTAGAGAGCCATTAGCCGAATTAATATGAGACTTTGCACACATATAAAGGGCGACATGACCACTCCGAAAACAGTTACGTTAGTGACAGATAGGTTTGAATTTGAATCTTTTGAATCATAGATCGAATTGATATGAAATCTATTATCTGTTTGTATATATGTTCCTTAACCTAGTGAGCTTTTTGAATCATCTTATGGGTTTTATATTTTAATTAAAAATTGCACTTTGTCGCGGGCGAAACCGCATGCGCAGTTATTATTATTATTATAAAACAGGTCATTTACATATTGCAGTCTAATGGAAGATTACTCACAAGTGTACAAAAAATTGCTGCTTTTTGAGCAAAAATGCTGCGGTCCAGTAGTTTGTCTTACTGCATATTGTGCTACTGAGGTTTGTTCAATACCACAATTTTCATAGAGCGTATTAAACTTTAAAGTCAGACTATTTTAAAAAAAAACTCATCTAAGCTGTTTCTGTACCTGAATCAATTGGTCGCCTTCTACTAAAGAGGAGGTGCTTAGAGATCAGGCTAAAGCCCAGGAGAATAGAATAAGGAGTCCCAAGGGTCGAAGTGTACGGTATTGTTACGCCCAGACCCAACACTCAAGATAAAATCCTGCATCACGTAGGCGGGGGCTTTGATTCTAGTTCGAAAACAGTATCTTTTATCAATTTATTTAATCTTTATTGCAGGAAACAGTACAAATTGTTAACTTTATTTCGTATTACCATTCCGTGGTAATTTAGAACTTTGTAGCAGATACGAAATTAAATGAGTATTCTGTAAAATATAAATTTCAGGTACATTAGATACATTAGATAAATAAACATTCCTTCGTTTAAGAATTTGGTATTCGGGATCTGTGTGTAATTGTCCTCATCTGGTATATATTTCTGGCATCGTCATAGCTCCATAGAAAATCCAAGCTTAGAGCAATTGAATGTGAAAAATTTCTTCATATGTCTTTTAGTTGAGGATCACAATTTAAAAGCGCTTTTACTACCGTTTCAGAAACTGGCTGAAGGGGAACTAAACGTAGTTCTCATTTTACTCTGTGTCGGCACGATTGTAATGCATTACATCCCTAGTCATTTGTGCACGTTCTTAACAATAAAGGTAAAATCAGTTATATTAATACTGTTATTCAATCACAATATATTTAAGACCTACTTTAACAGTCGGATATAGACAATAAATGGTGGACTGTATTCGCTAGCAATACCTCATACAATAAACACCATTTATATTTAAACGTTATATCTTGGTTGGTTAACAAAATGATTGGTGCGGACGTTCGAACTTTACCGAGATATTCTAATGTTGATGTTCAATCCCGATCATCGATACTCGGCAGAAGCACCTCTTTTAGGATCCACGTACTGACACGTAGGATCCATGAACTGCAACGGCTTGTCTTCTAATATACGTTATATAAAAGATTATCTGTTTTTAATATTACAAAAAAATACAACTACTTCTAGTTTGTCAAGAGTTTTAGTACGGTCTTACTAGTAATAGGTTGAGGAAAAAGTCTTTTCGCATTATAGTGTGTATGAATTTGTAATAAAATCTCTTTGACTATACTATTTGTATCTGGCCAGTTTTGGTATCATTAAAAGTTTAAATTTTAAAGAAGATAATTCCAAATTCAAATTAGGAAAATGTGTGATTTTTAATTATTTTTCGTGCTGTCCAGATGAGTGAATCTAATGAAGAAATTCGATACATTTTAAAATTTTACTATAAAAAAGGTAAAAACGCAACGCAAGCCGCGAAAAAAATTTGCGATGTTTATGGACCTAGTGCAGTGTCTGTGAGAGTAGCACAAATTTGGTTTAAGCGTTTTCAATCTGGAAATTTTGATGTCATAGATGCACGTCGCTCTGGTCGCCCTATTACGGATAAAATGGATGCCATTTTGAAAAAGTGGAGCAAGATCGGCATATCAGTAGTTACGACGTAGCTGAAGATCTGGGAATTGACTACAAAACACTTTTGGCGCATTTGAAAAAACTGGGTACAGAAACAAACTCGATATTTGGATACCTCACTAGCTGACTGAAAGAAACCTAATGAGCCGTGTACTCATTTGTGATTCTTCATTACCACGTAATGAAACCGAACCATTTTTGAAGAAGCTGATAACTGGTGATGAAAAGTGAATCACGTACGACAAGAACGTGCGAAAAAGGTCGTGGTCAAAGGCCGATCAGGCTTCACAGACTGTGGCAAAACCCGGGTTAACTCCGCAACAAGGTGATGCTACGTGTCTGGTGAGATTTGAAAGCCATTATTAATTATGAGCTGCTACCACCAAGCAGGACCATCGATTCTGAACTCTACTGCGAATAACTGATGAGATTAAAGCAAGAAGTTGGGAGAAAGCGGCCGGAATTAATCAACAGAAGGGTTGTGGTTTTTCATCATGATAACGCTAGACCTCACACATCTTTAGCCACTCAGCAAAAATTAAGAGAGCTTGGCTGGGAGATGTAATGCATCCGCCGTATAGTCCTGACCTTGCACCTTCAGATTTCCACCCGTTTCGGTTTCTTCAGAATTCTTTAGGCAGTGTCAGGTTAACATCCGAGAGGACTGCCAAAACCATTTGTCGCGGTATTTTGATCAGAATCCCCAAAATTTCTATAGCAATGGGATCGTGTTCCTACCTACAAGATGGCAAAATGTTATCGAACAAAATGGTACCTAGGTACATACTTTAGTTAAATGTAAATTAGCTATATTAAAAATGTTGTGAATTTTCTTAAGAACTGCGAAGATACTTTTTCCCTAACCTTATTATAAGTCAGAGTACCCTTCTTTTTTTTTTCAATATAACTTTAAATATTACTCAATTGATTTAACATCACGCGGCTGTCACAATGTAATATCTATGGGCTCGCATAATCTCTTAGGTTGGGCTTGAGCTCATTAACCCGTCTAAGCAAGAAAAAATTAACAAAAATATATTATAGCGTTTTTCAGGTGCGTTCAATTTGCGACGCTTGTTGGGACACTCCATTCTGGAATGCGGATAAGGCTATCAGACCGTACATAGTTCTGATCATGCAAAGATCCCTAAGACCCCTACCTTTGAGAGCAGCAGGTTTCGAAGATATTTGTATTCAAACTTTTTCTAGGGTAAGATACTGGTTAGATTACAGGGTTAGATTACTGGTGGTAGGACCTCTTGAGAGTCCGCGCGGGTAGGTACCACCACCCTACTTATTTCTGCCGTGAAGCAGTAATGCGTTTCGGTTTGAAGGGTAGGGCAGCCGTTGTAACTATACTTGAGACTTTCGAACTTATATCTCAAGGTGGGTGGCGCATTTACGTTGTAGATGTCTATGGGCTCCAGTAACCACTTAACACCAGGTGGGCTGTGAGCTCGTCCACCCATCTAAGCAATAAAAAATATAAAAAATATATTTTTTTAACAAATTTTAAATGTTCACTAATATTTGCACTAGATCTAAATAAATGGCAATGTGAAATTGCAGGTGATGACATTTTCACACGTCCATCCTTCTTATTAGCATACAATATACCTTATATTAAAAGGGCTCGGCATTAGGACTATCATGCCGCTGCTAGAGTTCCCTCTCCTGGTCCTTTAAGTAATGCACGCTACCTTCACTTCCAGCTTGGAGCTCGACAAAGAAGACATTTCGATGCCTCTGCTAATCTCTTTCAGATATATTTAGTTGCTCCTGCTCCTATAACACGGTAGATACGTCCATGGGCGACGGTAACCACTCACCTTCAGGTGGGCCATGTGCTCGTCTGCCTACAAGGGCATTTTTCTGAATGAAACTTCCCGATAATGGATGTACAAGCATGTTATATATAAAAAAAGAAGTAGTAATTTTTTTGTTATTCCCATATATTGTGTGTTCATAGTGACTAATATAATTTTCTATATAATTTTACACAACAATCTCGTTATCATGTAGTAAAAGTACCTACTGTGTTATAAGAAACAGGGTTTGTGAATTATTTTTTTTTTCGTGTTATAGTGGAAACGCAATATAAAATACCGTGTTATAGGAAGGTTACCTCTATTATTATTTTACGTCACAAAGAAAACTGATAAAACATTCGAATCATAATACCTTTCCTTTTTATTGCTTTCAATAAAAATATGCAATTATTACTTCAATAACTTTTCAAGAGTCATAGGTATGATTAGAAATTCTTAATGGGTGTAGCTCGTGTTGATTTCAAAAATAAAAACATTACATTATATACATTATTATCAATTCTGAATAGTTTTCATAATCGTCCATCTTTTTTACTGATAATTATGCGTGTCCATAGGCACTGCACACTGAGATCCTCGCCGGATCTTCTCAGCAGGTCGCGATTCCGATCCGGTAGTAGATTCATCCGTGAAGCAGCTACTCTTGGGTGGTTAGGTCTCCTTTGGAAGCGATCGGGCAGCTGTTAGCAAATCCCACCCCTCATGAGCCTTTGCTCGCCAACCTGTGCCGGTGAAACTAGAAAGGCCTCCGGACCACCAGTAATCCCTCATTCATAAAAAAAATAGATGAATAGCACCTACTGTAAATTATTATCTTCCATTTTGAAATCCATTGTTTTTATTCAAATGATTTATAAAATAATATTGTAAGTAAAATGCAAACGCAGTAAAATGTTTTTGTTTTGTCCACATTTAATATGAATTGTTAATGATCGAACGTAAAGATTGCTTTAACCATAATTTTTAAACTAAGCAACCGGTTGGTTGACGTTTCACCTGTATTCATCTTTATGATGTTTTTGTCGACCCATTGTTAATGTTGTAACACATAAATAAAACTCAATAAATTTATTACAGAAAATGACGTCCGCTTATTCGTACTTTAATATGCTGAGGCAAGCTAATCGCAAATAAATTACTTAAGAGGAATTTTATGAAGATTAACAAAGAATAACTGTGGTGAGTAACTTTTTAGACAAAAGCAATTTTGCAAATTAAGTATCAGAGCAGATTTTAAGGAAAAAATATATATTTCTTGAGTGTGATTGCTGTTAAACGACCAAACTGATTTTCAGACTGTATTCCAGTCACGTCGGATTCACATCGAGCGCCGAATCAAACAGACGCATCGGTGTCGCGTCTTTAACAAATAAGTACTTATGTAATTTGTCGAATTTTTTTTTTTTTTAATTATGTCCTTATATGTATATGTACCTGAACTAGTGCAATCAAAATTCGCTTTTTACTTTGAAATAAATACAAAACTTAGTTCAATTGTTGTTTCAAATAACACCAAATTCCCATGAGAAAATAAATGACAACTACATGCAAATACATGCTGTTTAGAATAAATTTGTATAACTAAACTAGAGATACGTATTCAGAACGTAATATATTTACACAAGAAATAAACAATGTCATTATTAAACTGTAATAAATAGGGAAGAGTCGCTGCGCAATATCGAATACAACACGTAAATTATCACGCTCGAATGAACAGTGAAAATAGACATGGAAGAAAGAAGCGGGCTTTATCCAATAATAATTCTCACTTGAATCGGTCTATTTGCTCGCCGTCTCACGATCTGATATTGAATATGGATAAAGTGAATTATATTCAGAGTGGCGCCTACCGTCGACTCGCAGAGTTTCAGATAAGAGGATTACTTACAAGTTATAATTGGTTCGGGCTATTCGAATGAATAAAGACAAAAACTCAATATCTTTGTGCAGCTCTTAAGTACTTACTTAGATAAAACCAGTGATCTTTTTCTTGCTTGATCCTCACTTATATTACCAACTCATTAATTAATTGCATTATATCGTTTTCTTTGTTTTACTTTTCTTAATACAATTACGTAGATTTCAAGCAGATTGAAAATGCTTTCATTCTAAATCCGAACAAAGAGCAATATTTTACTTCAAGGTTTCCTGAAAATTAATTTATATTTTTTGGCTACTACAACATTTTGCTTAATGATGCAATAAAGTAGGTAGTCACTTTACTAAAGAGAATGTAAAATTTTTGTTATTGCTTAAATTGTGTAAATCATCTGGTTGGTGCGGCCGAAATCGACAAGTAATAATGTTTACATTAAACAACTCACACAATATTTAAAAAAAAATAGCTAATCTGCTTAATAATTGGTCGAATGGTTGGTCGCAAAATCATCAACATGTTGGGGCTCTGAAGTTGAACCAACACTTTGGATACACTAAGAAAATGTTGCTTTTCCTCCTGGACCTCCGATTCTTTTGTTGAGATAGAATTCGGAAAAGGCAATACGACGTCAGGTCTCTTGCCAGTTTGTCCAGAGCCCGTCTCCACGACACCGCCGAAAAATACCTATACATAGTTATATACATATATATGTATAGTTATAAATTCCTCGATGTACCGAAATAACAGTTTTTTAAATCAGTTTAAATAAATGTATATAAATAAAATCATGATATAGATATGAGTGGACAAACCGCAAAAAATCTGGGAACTATTTTATAAACTACAGACTTTTTGCACTGCAGTTAACAAGATATTAGTTATCTGTGGCAGCCTTTTTTTAACACGCTTTTTTTGTCTAATAGTAGTTTTTACTAAGGTTCTTAAAAAAAATGTTGGATTAAACCTAAAAGTATTTATAAGTAGATTTTAGGGTATACAGAAGCAAATTATCAAACAGATGATATTTGTATGCACTCATTTACATATTTATAAGAAGGAAAAAAACCTTTAAGTCCCTTTGTAATTATCGTGCGCACTGACCATAAATAATTAAATCTTCTTAAAAAATGGGTTATTAATATTGTCATTTTTTGCCACATTACTTTTTTGCCTTCTTCTAAATATGTCTGTATTATTTCTTTAGTATAGACAGGCAGACATAACTGGCTGACTAAATAAAACGAAAATATATCTAAAAATCCAAAAATTTAGTGTAAAATATAGATGGATTTTCAAAATAGCTTGTATGTAAAATAAAAAGCCGACAAATTTTATTGAATGTTCGCCGCTGTCATGAGCTATCCGCTCTCACATGTTTGGTACTAACACAATTACGGCTACCGACGTCGAGGGCCGGCAATCTGAAGCCAATTCAATTAACATCGGCTTTTAAGGTCCGACATTGTCTAGGTATACATCAGGTTTGTAGGTAGGTACATACCAATTAACGGTTCCATCGTGACTATGTCTCAGATGGGAACACTTTAGAATTAAAATAAAATAACTATAATGTAAATTAATTAATAGAAAGCCTATTCATGGCCCTTCTGGTTTTGAGCATCGGTGAAGTCCATAGACATTACTTAGAAAGTTTTTTTTTCCTACCTATGCTGATAGCCTTGAGAGGCTATTTCAGCTTCTCCTTGACGTGTAGGTAAGCTCAGTGTTGCTAACACTGGCCCTAGCAAGAGCAGTGCTTCGCAGAATCTACCACCGGATCAAAAACGCGACCCACTGAGAAGATCCGGCGAGAAACTCAGTGGGCTGTATATGGGTTAATTCACTCGTCGGGCCCTTCGTCGCAAGCGACGGTTTCTACGAGGACGGTGACCAGTGCTTGTGGTACCTAAAAGCACCGTTAATGGATCGGGAGCATCCGTATTGACGTTTTTAGGGCGACGTTGACTGTTTACCATTCGGTCTACAGGATCGGCTATCCTGCAAAAACGAGATTGAATAACGAAGCGAACAGTACGCTTGCATAGATCATGACGGGGTTAGAAAGTTATTGCCATCATCTGCTTAAGTCATGAACTCAAATTCTCTCAAACACGAATTCTCTATTATACAGGGTGGGCCATAAAGTTGAGCGGATTATAAAAAATCATATAAAAAAAACTACAAAGCTCAGGAAAGAAAAAATATAATTATAATAAAGATTACAAATGGGAATTTTATTTTTTTTAAATAACATCGCTGAGATGTGTGCCATCTATCTACACGTACACACTCTTCCAATCTAGCCTTCAAATTCGTGAAAACTCGCTGGCACATCGCTCGTGGGATATCGGACATTTCCTTGCGAATATTGTCTTTGAGCTGGGCAATTGCCGTCGGTTTATTGGCGTAAACGCGACTCTTGAGGTACCCCCACAGAAAAAAATCCAGTGGCGTGAGATCTAGGCTCCGGCGAGGCCATGGAATGTCCCCTCGACGCGATATCAGTTTTCCATTAAACATTTCGTTAACAACTGCCAAAGACTCATTGGATGTATGGGATGTCGCGCCATCTTGTTGAAACCAGGTCCTGCTGTTATAGGCTTCAAAATTATGCAGTTGTGGAAAGAAAAAGTTACATAACATTGCTGTGTAGCGATCAGAATTTACTGCTGGGGATCGCGCCGTACAGACACCGCGACTTCGCTTACATTCTCCTCCGTTTTTATAGACCTTGGACGCCCCACAGGTTTTTCATTTAATGTCGAACCCGAAGACTCAAACTTTCTGACCCACGATCTGATCACACTTTCACTCGGACATTGGTTTAAATCATGTAAATTAAACTTAGAACGAAATAAACGCCGCGCAATAGTGCCCGAATCGCCATTTTTGTAATACGCTTTCACACAAATAGCACGCTGCTCACCGGTAAAACGCTCCATGACAACTGAATTTCCGAGAACCAAGGAACCTATTCCTACTACCCGCACCCCGCTCCCGCTTTCCTGTCGCGAGTAATATGATTTTGAAATTCGCACGCCTTTCTGGCCCACCCTGTATTTACAATGGGTGTCTTACCCTTTATACTGGAACATAATAATATGACTGCTTCGAGACTGAAGATAGTGGTACCTATCCATGTGGGATCACAAACCCAGGCTGTAACGCAAGCTGATAAACTTTGCGTATTCAATTATTAGTACCTACATGAAGTAGTAACATCATTGTGAAAGTCATTCGTAAAAACCTGTTCTTATTTACTGAATAGAATTCGAACTCACATCCTATGAGGACCAACCACTAAGTGGAATGAAAACTCGTCTAGATGGCCATCTAGTAAAAAAAGTAGGGGCATGCAAGATGATCTTAAAAAGGAAAATAAAGAAGAAAACCTAATAAATTATGTTATACTATACTAAAACAATTATAGTAATATTAGATCAGAGATTATTTCCATTAGTACGTTAAGATTTAAATTGTACAATTAAAATGTGAGGAGATTTGGAGAAAAAGTATGATTAAATAAAATAAAAAAAATCATATTTTATCTTCATTGAAACAATTTAAAGTAGAATGAAAAACATCATGCAAACGTTGAACGAAGTTGAGTTTTTCTCTTCGAAATATTGTGCAGGTCAAGGGCTGGGAGGGGCTACCAGTATTTGATTGTTTCCTCGCTCCATCGGTGCGTTACGGGACTGTCGTCGTTCGTGTATGCATTTGGAATAATACTCCTACTGATTTTCATCTGCGTATTGAGCATTCGGAGCTAAAATGTCGGAGCTAAAATGTCGGAACTCAAAATGATGTAAATATCATAATACAAACTTTTTTAAATTTTTTATTGCTTAAATGAGTAGACGATCTCACAGCCCACCTGGTTTTGAGTGGTTACTGGAGCCCATAGACATCTACAACGTAAATGCGCCACCCACCTTAAGACACAAGTTCTAAGGACTCGGTATAGTTACAACGGCTGCCCCACCCTTCAAACCGAAACGCATTACTGCTTCACGGCAGAAATAGGTGGGGCGGTGGTACCTACCCGTGCGGACTCAAGAGGTTCTACCACCACTATAAAATGCTAAATCAACTTTAAAAACTTATTAAAGCTGTTCACATTTTATTAATGAAACTAAATCGAGGTAAAGAGGAAACATTTCACCAGCACTGTGATTAAACTAAAACTAAATCCTTTTGCGTGATTTACACAAAAGGAGCGATAAAACTCCTTTCCGAACCTTTGACATTTCGGAGATAATAGCCGTGCTGCTGACATGAGAATTACTGTAACATCTGCATTCAGTGGGCGACCGGTCACGCTGAAACCTATTTGTGGGGCCGATATTATCGGTGGGGAAAATTTCTACAATCTCTGTCCCTTTGTGACCGCTACTGCTCATGACATGTCAATTACGTTATTCTAAAGGCTTCACGCAAGTTACATAAGCTTACAATGATGTTTCAGCGGGCTCAACGCAACTTCACATTTACTTTAAGAACAATTTTAGGATGTTAACATCATTAGGTAAGAACCAGTTACTAAATACATCCTTATGTTATTTTTTTTT